AATATTTCACATTGTTTTCGGCGGGTTTTGACGGCAAGAAAACGTGTTTTGTTTATCTTGGCTCCTTTCCAACTCCGATCTTAGCACAGGAAGTAATATAGCTTTAAATTCTAGACCTGACCTATCGCCAGTTTCCATTATCCATCTTGTGCAGAATAATACCCTACATGGGTGATTATGAAACACGTAAAAAGTCCATAAAACGACCGTATATAACCGGGAACTTGATAGACCAAATCTTTTACACTGGAAATTTTGAGAAAAACCTTCTATTATGATAAGATATATATTGTATATTAATAAGATTTTTAGTGGGTGATGTAGGTATTAACTAAAATTTTTCATTGTTAAATTAAATTATATATCATATTAGTTAAAATATATTTTTTTAAATTATATTTGCAATAAACTGGTTAATACATCACGACAATTACCGACTTTTATTTGTTGTGTGGTTTTTCCAGTTACGACGTTTTACAGTTTTAAGCCAGACAGTTGCGCTAAATAAGCATACTGCATGAAAACTGTTCTTAGTAGACATTAACATATTAGCAAAAACTCTCCAAGGGCCCAAAAACTAACAAACAAGTTATATTTTCCTAAATGATTATCAAAACTTCACATTCAAATTATTTGCTTATTTTGCAATGAATAAATACAGTTATTGATTGAACTTTGGCCACCCCGTTTTTCATCTAATTTGAAATTTAGAGAAAAATGTTAAATACAAAAGTTGTAGATATTAACGTCTAGTATATTTTAAGATAATACTAATTGATACAGGGTGTCTCAAATGCAAGTGGCAGACCGAACTTGCCTTTTTTTAATGGAATGCCGTACTTTTAATTCTATGCAGAAAAGAAAGGAAGTTTTCCGAAATGTTAACGGAGAGCGAAAAAACAGACCTTATTATTGTTTACAGGAAAATTGGCAACACTTAAACAACTTTTAAGATAGTGTGCAAGTAGATGACATAGGTTTTATTGTAAAAATTTCTCTTCCGCAAATAAAAAGTAATTTTTGTCGATGTAAAATAATCAATAAATGAGAAATAAGGTCAAAATCAAAAATAAGAAATCAATGTTTGAACTACATTTTCTTCCGGTTATCCAACGATTTTAACAGTGTAACATACTCTTCTAATCATTTGTATTTCTACGAAAAGCAACAAAGCAATAACTAATGTTTTGAATGGAACGCCCTTTAAAACGTTGTTAGTGTCAAGTAGCAACTTGACCCCCTTTCCCATTTAAGACTTTAAGGGTGACTACCCGTCCTAGGGGGTAGAAACAAGGAGGCTAAAAATATAAGGTAGAATAAGAAGTAATAATGTAATAATAAGGTAGAAAGTTTTCAAATTAACACCCCCTATATTTATTTCAAAGTTAACAAAAACTTTTGAAAAATTACTTTACAAGCCGTGGAAGCTGTTATTAGACCGGATGAGTAATAATAAATGTATTTAATTAAATGAAGTAACATTTGCCTTAAATTAAATTACAAATCTTAAAAGCAGTGTGCGTACTTAAGTAACTTTGTTGTACTTAAGCTATGTCCCAAATAATTTTACTAAAGAAACCCTATAAAAAATCCAACACTAAACGAAATGACGAAAACATAAAAAGGTACATTATATTAAACACAAGAAAGAAATTAAAATTTTAGATACCACAGGGTGAAACGACAAGTAATTTTATCTGAAATGTTTGCCATTGTTTCTTTTGGAGTGTTCAAGGAAAAAACAGCAAAAATTATGTAATGACTTATTTTTAAAACACCCACGTTTTGGAAATTTTAGTAAAGAAATTTAAGAAAGAGAAACTTTTATTCAAAATATCCCAGCAGAACGAATATCTATAATCAAGAGTTGTGACTGTTATTGTGATCTGCTATATAATCTGAATTTGAATACAATACGGGAACAAATAAAGAAAATCGGATACGCACTAAATACGAACTGTAAGTGCTTTAATTATTCCTTGTTTATTGCATTGAACAATGTGGAATAAGTTTGATAGTGTTTATAAAGTGGCTATCGGGTTGTTTTAAACTCGGTATTCGTGACATTATGGGTTTCGTGCAATCAAATTTATACTGTTATAATATTTTCGCACATTTTCGCAACTGACTTAAGCTACATATTTCAGAGTATTCTGTATGTGAAAAGAACGGGTGAAGAGAATTTAAGTAAGAATTGTTTTATTATAGAACAACTAACTTTTATATCAATACCTTAATGATCGAAATTATTAGGTATTTGATTAAACAAACATATAGCGGCTTATATAACAACTCTTCTCAAAAGCGGTAAAAGTTAAAAATTGCCTGATTAATTATTTGAATATTCAGAACATCTAAATGCCGAATCAGTATATTAAACATGATATAATTTTAGATTTTCCATATTTTATTAAAAATTGATTCTATTGGCATTGGAATTTTAGAACCCAATGTGTCATAAAAGTTTAAAAAGCTACATTTTATATTCCAGTGCTAGGATTTATACAAGGACGTTAATTTTGAAAGCAATCCACATTTTCCGTTTTATTTTATTTTATATGGTGTTTTATGTATATAGGGATAGAAAGTTTGATAAATAAATGTGGCGCTGATCCGCATATTAACGTTGGAAACCCCTTCAGTTGGGGACCATTATTTGGAATTATGTTCTTACTGCCTACTTTAATCCACACCGGCCTTAAGCGCCTGAAATTCATTCGGATTTCCTACGCAAATGATTTGCGAATTTGTTTTCTTTCCTCGCTAATTAAAGGGTTTGAAACAAGCGAAAAGTGTCTGAATTAATTAAAGCTTTCGGCTGTTCAGGTGAGAAATATTCGTTTTGTTGTTGAATGGGATTTTTCCGTCTGTGCAATAAAAAAACTTTTCGTATTTACTCGGAAACTTATTACATTTTTATAGACAAAGTTTACTTGCAGGAAACACAGCGCGTTTCTTAAAATGATGTAATTTTTATGTTTCTTTTTAAAGTAACTCGATTTTTTGGCAAAACTTTGTAGGTGAAGAAGTGTGTTCTGTATTAAGATTTGCAAAATGTAGCAAATAGTAATTGGAGATAATCGCATTTTAGTTTAGTACAATCGCAAATTTAATTCGCTTTCTTTCATTTGGTATGTTGTGAGTCTAACATCCGTATATGCAGCAGAAGTATTTACATTTTTGAGACTTTTTTACAATTAAAACCGCCACATGAATTGTAAATGAAAATGGAAATTTGGAAATATACCAATTTCTGTGGAGATTTTAATGATGTGCAAACAAATCTGCCTCAAATAATTACTGAAAAGTGTAAAAACGAGTTGCGCTACTAATATGTACCAACACAAGGAACAAAGTAACTTAGAAGTTTTTTACATACAAAGTCCATTTTAAATCGAATATTCAGCCCCGAAAGCGAATCATTCCATAGGCTCACATTTGCTTAATGTCCTGCTTTGTACTATTTTATAGTTAATATGTAAGTAGTTTATAATATAATTTGTAGCCATTATATTTTTTTCGGCCTTGGTGCTTGATTATTTGAATAAACAAAGAAATTAATTAATATTTTAACATTTAACACAGAGTAGTTATTTTGTAACATTTTATTTACCAAAAAACATGTTTTTGGTTGTTTCCGCGTCCACGAAACAGTGTGATGCTCTCGAAGGTATCGTCTCGAAGCATTGTATCGATGTTCAGCCAAAGATCAAAGGCAAATCCCGGACAAAAATCAATATGCTTCAACAGTTACCTCGCGCCTCGAGGAAGTTTCCGCTTACTGTTTTGCCCATTTAAATTAAGCACCTCACGAAACATAAAACCAATTACCTTCATCCTCCAGGCCGAATCGGTTGTAGTCGCCTATTTTAAAAACCCGAACGAAAATCCTTTTCCTCTGTCAAACATTAAAGGGCGTCGCGAATCTCGAATTTTGCGCTGTTTTTTGCCTCATTGGACAATTAAACTTTACCTTAATAAACGTTGGGACGATTTCGGGGGGAACGACAATAAAAGGGCCTGAGCCCTTCGGAAAGAATGGCGGCCCAATTAGCATTCTAAGAGCCTAATTTACCGAAATAAATTGAAAATATTTATGAAAGCTAGGGAAATCTTGCTTAACTTTTTGGTAATTATATAACCTTTGAATTTCTATTAACAAAAGTTCAAATTGAAACTTGCAAAACTTTAGGGAAATGGTGAACTGAGTAATTTGCGAGCTTCATCTGAATAACTTAAGCAGGAAGAGAAACTGGAAAGCCTGCTATTAAATAACATCCCGCGAAGAAAAATGCTACTTTTCGCAATCAAGAATCAAGTAAAAATCTTAGGATTTCTCATTTCCTCCCATTTTCACAACAAAAAACGATATAGATAAGTTCTATATGTTGAGGCGGATTCATTTTTTACAAATTTCTTTTTGGGTATTTCGCCTCAAAAATTTTTGTCTTTAAAAAAGACAGAATTTCCTCACGTCCTTTATTACAGATTGATAAATAGTGCTCCTATTTC